AATAAAGGAGGGGTTTAACAAAAGAACACTATATATGAGACAGAAGGTATTTCTTTTTTTTATCTCTGGAAAACCTTGTTACCTAACCAAGATTGGTTTACATTTAGCCCTGCCAAGTCCTCAGAGATCCGCATCAGTTTAGAGAAACCACTCTGACACGACTTTACGGGCCACAAACTGACTGTGATTAACTTTTAATGACTACTTAGTTGTATTTACACTGCCTGGTTGTCTCAGTTCTAATCCCCTTAAACATTAGGTTGCTGCTTCGTGACCTAGAAAAGATCCAACTTGAAACTCTTTCACAGGTGACCTCTCTGGAACACAGTGATCCTAGTCTGGGAAACCCAAGGCCCCAACATGTTTACTCCCACAGAAATACTTTCACGATTACACCAACGGGTAAAGTGACACGCCACAAATAATAAACCCAAAAGGTTTTTCCAGGACAGGCCTGGCAGATATGACTCCACAGTTGTGTTTGCTACCATGTACACCAACAGGCATGCTTTGTATGTTGGTGTAGCTTTTAATGGTACACCGAGATCAAGACATCCCAACCTTATTCCATCACCCACCTCCTATGGGAAGTTTGACTGCTGCTGGTCTGAGAAGGGCATTATTGCTCTGCAGAGGACATCTATCTCTTGTTTTCAACAAATCTGCAGCCGCACGTGAAAGGGAGTAGAGCCTTGATGCTTTTGTTCCCTGAGCGGCTCTGGGAGTAAGCTTTTAGTTGGGGTTTTTTTCTGAAAAGAGTGAGAAAAGTGCTCAGTAGGATCGCTTACATGTCCCTAAAACCTAAAAAATACACCGATCCATTAATGTGTGACTTGGGCGTTTTTATTTAGCTTAAAAGATGTGACCATGACACTTGAGTGAAAATCAAAACAGAATGAGGAGCTTTAAAAGCATGAACCTTCTTCTTCCCGCTCTTGGAAGGTGCAGATGCTTTTTTCCTCCTCTCCTCCATCTTATCCTCAAATCCCTTTGTCTGTCTCTGTGTGCTGGGTGCACGGCTGCTTCTACAGTTTTTTGGAAACTGGAAACTGAAATTCACTAAAATGGATCTCGTCAGTTGGTCTCTCAACGCGATTGATAAAGTTTTTTCAACAATGAAAACGGGAGAAGGGGCTCCCGGATGCCCCTCCAGGACAGACCCAGTTGGACACATCATAGACTCCTGGAAGCAGTGGAGCTTGATTTGTGTATCTCAGCTGTCTGTGGAGGACTCTGAAGACGTGTGGATATTCGTGGTGTTGGTGTCAGGTTTCCTGCTCATTGGCCTTGGAGGCTTCCTGGCTTACCGGAAAATTAACGAGCTGTCGAGGAATATTGGCCTGATCCCGGAGCTCAGAGATGGTTTGCACCACGCTGTGAATTCACAGACTCACATAATTGTTGAGATGAATCGTAAGCTTGGAACTTTGGCCGAGATTCATTCATTGGCACAAAAGATGGATGCCATCAAGGAGAGAGTGGTCGAATCAGCACAGATTGGGATAGATTAACGTCCATTATTGGGATTTTGAGAGGTTGAGGACCATCAAACTGTAAGACAGAGAGGAAATTATCTCTGTCTGGCCCCAAAACAATTTCTAATCGGAATCTGGCGTCCTTGAGCCAGCAAGGCTCCAACTAAAACTCCCCCCTCAGAAGATATGTGGAATGTGCCATCGCTATGGCAACTCAACTCTGTATCCTTTCCCAGCCTGGCTGGGACTGCAGGAAGGCCGCTGAAACGTTCCAAGGTCACTGCAACCCTCCAACCCTCACTGCTCCTCCCCCTATCCACACTGAGGTGACATGCGCTGCTTATCGTGGCTGCAGGAACTGAAGTGGGGATAGTCCCAGCCCACCACCCCACCTAGTGGACACTTATGTTGTGTGATGTCTGAAGTCTGTTGCACATCTGTCTGAGGTGTTTTTTGCAGAGTAAAGCTGCCCTCCCAGTGGAGGGTAACTCTGAAGTGCCTTTTTTTCCCTCCACCCGAACCAATCCTCATGTAACCCTCTTATCTCTATTAACGTAGCACGACTCAGGGTTGCGAATGACCACAGTAACCAATTCTTGTCAAGTGTCTTGCCCATGTATGTCTGATCTCTGAATTGTGTGTATGGAAATTCTAATTTCCCTCTGGGATTAATAAAGTATCTTTGATTTGATGACCCATATTTGATCTCATGTAGTGACATTCATTAAATCTAATGTCTTAAATATTTTGTTTTCCACGACTCAAGCTTTGGATTGTCTTGCAAACGTGTCAAACTAACAGCAAGGCTTTCAAACGCAACAACAACAAAACACGGGGTTCTCCCCAGCATTTTACAAGCCTGGCCCCCCACTAGGCCAAGCATCCACCACCACCCCACCCCCACAGTCACGGATGACGAACGACAGCGAAACAATTCGCGCGCAACCCCCACCCCACCCTGCGCTCTCACAACCCGCCAGGCTTAGCATGTTTTCTTGGTGAGAACCTTGAAAATAGTATGAAAAAATATAAAGTTATTTTGAGCCGAATCATATCAAGTCGTTTTTACAAAACAATGCCGTCATTTTGCCACAACGCCGTGGCGGCATCAGGGACCCTTAGGTTGTTTATAAGTGGTCAGGCCATGGCAGTAATGTGGCACAATCATGTCCTTTTTATAACAGATTAGCCGATGGTGGCATAAAGGGGGTATGGGGCATTTTCTGCGATGCCGTGGACTTTCATTTATCTTGGACATATCTTGCTTTTCTTGCGATTGAAGCCACAATTGTTAAGTTTTTCTTAACAAGCTGCTTGACCGCTTATATCTGAGATTTTTATTGCAGTCCAATATAATCCGATACAATGTTTTTGGGCCAATATCGGAACAGGAAATCCCTTGTTGCAAATCTGCAACGCCTGCCTCCAGAGGGTTAAGGTAAAAATCACGAGGCACTTCACAAGAACAAAAAATTATAAATACAAAAAATCTTTAAAAAATGACTTAAAAACATGGTTAAAATGAGAAGAAAACATTAAAATCATCACAAAATAAAATTGTGATTTAAAAAGTGCAAGTTACAAAATTGCAAAAAGAAAATAAATAGGAAAGAGGGAAATCAATGGATCTAGGGAAAGGTGCAATAGGTAGGAAGAGCAGAGCGAGGAGAGAGTGGTGATGAGGGTCACACAAAAACAAGCTTGAACAAGTGAGTTTTCAGCAGCTTTTTAAAGGAGACCACTGAGTCCACTGATGTCAGGCTCAGGGGGAGAGAGTTCCAGAGTCTGGGGGCCACAGCAGCAAATGATCTGTCACCTTTGGTCTTTAGCCTGGTGCTGCACAACCAGTAGGTTTTGATCACTGGACCTCAGGGACCTGCTGGGGGTGTAGGGACTAAGAAGATAACCAATGTAAGATGGTGCTTGTCCATGTAAGGCCCTATAGACCAGAACCAGGATCTTGAAATGAACCCTGAAGTTAATTGGCAGCCAATGAAGCTGGAGGAGAAGCGGGGTGATGTGGGTGTGTTTGGAGGACTTGGTCAGAAGCTGAGCACAGGCATTCTGAACCACCTGTAGACAGTTCAGGGAGGTTCTGCTCAGACACGTGAAAAGAGAGTTACAGTAGTCTAAGCGTGAAGAGATGAAGGTGTGGAGAACTGTCTCAAGTTCAGAGCGGGACAGAACGGGACTCAGCTTAGCAACGTTCCTGAGATGGAAGAAGGAAGAGCGAACAAGAGAACTGACATGAGAATCAATGGTGAGAGCTGGGCCAAAGGTCACGCCAAGATTCCTGACGGAAGGTTTGGTGTGAGAAGCAAGCTGACCAAGAGAGTCTCTGACTTTGGTAACTAGTTTTTTCTGGGGCACAGATGAGGATCTCAGTCTTATCTTCAGTCAGCTGTAGAACGTTCCCAGCTGTCCAGGTTTTGATAGAGTCTAAGCAGGTGTGGAACAGCTGCAGCTTAGACATCTCAATGGGCTTACAGGAGATGTACAGTTGGATGTCATCTGCATAAAGATGGTACGAGATACCGATAAAGGAGCTCAGGAAAGGAGCTACAATGTCCAACATCACCACCATGTCCATCATATTTCTTGAGTTGTGTTGTGTTTTTGTGTCACATAAAATCCATGTCTCGCTACTTTTCGTGTCGGGCACAGATCACCGTGTAGAGCAGAGTCAAGTCAAGCCACACCGAGTAGTAGAAACGCCCCATTAGCTGAGGGCTTCTCTTGATATGCTTTGTCTTTCGCTTTAAGATTCATCATGACGCACTTCAGTGATCGTTTTCCACAGACCTTGATTGGAACCAGCGATTATTTGAGGTCCTGTTGCCCTTTTTTTTTTTTTTACTCAAACAAGTTTGCATGTTCTCCTCTGAGGACAAGGCATTTTCATCCAAACACTTTTCTCATTCTGGACCATTCTTTGTAAACTCTAGAAGTGGTTGTTGGTGAAAATCCCTATAAATCAGCACATTTTTATTTATTATTATTGGTTTTTATTTATTAATTTTTTTTTTTTTTTTTACATATTTCAGACCAGCCCATCTGGCATCAAAACTACTCAAGTCCCTTCCATTACAATCATATTTCGATTTGAACTTCAGCTAATCATCTTTGCCACAAATACATGCCCAATGGGCTGTCTGATTTCAGTATTACCACGCAAGTGAGCAGACGTGCCTAATGAAGAGGCCAGAGTGTATGATTAGATTATAATCTGACTGCACACTGAAGGGAACCTGCTGCTTAAAAATGCAAACACCAGGGCACGGAATGACCTGTCGGAGCTCAGGAGACGTTTTGCTTTTTAAGCTTGGACCTAAAAATCAGCAGCTGCCTGACCGAAAAAAAAACTGATGCAACAAATACAATGTCTGCAGCACATTGGGAGTGAAAAACATCACTGATGTCATCCTGAAGCAGCTACCTGCAGCCGAAACGCTCCACAATTTGATGCTAAATGATAACTCTGAGTTCTCCCACTGGATGCTAGTGGATAGAAGCACAAAGTCCTACCTGGCCTGCTGGGATAACGCCGTCTCGATGGTGTGACCTCAGGAGGGGTTGCAGAGATGATCTCCTGAATTGGATTAACGCAGAAGCAAGTCAGGCGTAGGCGGACATCTCTGACGGGGCGATGTCCATGTTTATTATTATGTATCTCTGAAACGTCGAAGTGGAAACATTTGACCCGCTTCTGTCTCCAACAGCGCCTGAATCTGGGCCCCAGTGAAAGCAAAACCACCAAATACCGAAAGAAAAAGCAAAAACACGCTGTGGATAAATAAACGGAGCAGCGGGGAAGCACAAACTGCAGCTGACTCTCCTCTTTTTCACAGCTGCGCGTTTTCCAGCGAACAGCGCGCAACGCAAATCCAGCAGAAGGCAACAGAGTATCTTGTTGCAAGGAAATCCGGGGGCGGTGTGTGTTTACCTCTCACCCGTTCCTGCTGCTGTTCTCGGTGGGAAGTGGGAAATCAGCTGCTTCTCACTGGAGAGACGCCATTTGTCCGAGAAAGGCTTCCCCGTCTGCTGTCGTCTTCTGCCCCCTAGAGGACGAGTCGGTAGCGCACCAAGTGCTTCTTCTGTGGTTAGGGCTCCCCCTGCTGGGAAAAGTCTTATAAACACCTTTTAGAGGTTCAACCATCGACATAAATGTACGGGTTCAACGTAGGTGGCTGCCTGCTAATAAATAAATATTTTTATTACGGCGTTTGGCTAATTTTAGGCAGACATTTCAACAAAGTTAAAAATAACTAACTGCTTCGAATAATTCAAATAAACTGAGTTTTGTGCTATTTCTTTCCTATCTAAAGAAATAAAATTAACTCATGTGGATCACATGTAATTAATGGAACTAAATTTGACAGCTTTGAACCCCACAAATTACAATGTTCAAAATTCTCTAAGATCATTTTTTCCAAAGTAGTTTAAAGCAGAAAGTGAGATTTAAGGAGTTAAAATGTTCGACAAAAAGCTGTATCACTGTGAACGCTGCTGCAGCATTTTTATATTATTTTATATTCATTTATAACAATATGGAAATGAAGAAAAACCAGCCAAACTGTAAGTGAAGAAGAGAAGAATAGCTATTATTGTTTATTTTATTCAGCTTTGTTATGGAAATCAGCACATGGAGGAAAGGGAAAAAGAAAACAGAAGTTTAATTTGGATTTACATGTTTTATTCTCATATTAGAGTGCTATACACAAAAGACCACACACTGTGGGTTACACTAACCTGAAAACAATATTTGTCATGGTGACTAAATGAGTCGGTGAGCAAAACAACCACAGCTGGAGTACATTTAACTGAAGTTGTGCACAAACAGCAGCTTTAATTCCTATTTAGAAAATATGTGACAAAACTTTAAAATTACAAAGCATCAAGTGCAAAAAGTGACTGTTGTTTTTAATTAGCTGTCATAAAACGTTATAAAATAAATAAAATTACTCAAGTTGTGTTGAACTTTAAAATACTTTTATAAAATAATGTTTGGAACAAGCATGCTAAAACATTAATCAAACATTCCAAAAGAGGAAAATTAAGCTTCACCAGTCCAGCTTCATGTCAGCTTTGCTCCAATTATACTTCCCACCCCTCTTTAGAAACATTTTTTCATCAAAGCCACTGAAAAAAATGGCATCCTTCACGCCCACATCGAGAATCGACCTGGACGGATCCTTCCTACCGTCTCGGCAGTCCAGGAAGCGCATCTGAATAATCAGGAAGAAAGCAACGAACATAAGATCTAAGTAACTGAATTTCCATGAAGGAAACTGACTCAATATTGATAACTGCAATGAAAGACTTACATACTCATCCAGAATCAGGTAGGAGTTCCTCATCTGTTGAAATCAAACGTTTCAATCAGACTTGTTTCATTTAACTTTCTTGGTTTGCATCAATCTAACAAAAAAACAAGCACATTTCCCTTACGCTACCTTCTCGTTAGACTCAGGAACAAGACAGGAAACACCACCGTGTCTTTCCAGAAACTCCTGAAACTGTTCGTCACTGATGACGAACTTCCCGGCTTCTCTCAGGGCGTCTTCTCCTGCGTTCTCTCCGTCGATCAGCAAACACTGGAACACCTAAGAACAAAAAAGAGGATGAACATCTTCCTCATCAAAGCGTTTAAGCCTTCTGCTTTCATTTCCCTCTCTACCTTCCAGCGGACAGGGTTGAGCTGGCTGATCTGCTCTGTCATGTCTTCATCCACGTTGAAGGTGTTGATGACGGAGTTGATTTTGAACGCCACTCTGTACTGCTGGCACCAGCTGCAGATCTTGTAGAGGTTCTCGATGTGGCTCTTCCTGCCTTGAGCTCTGCCGATCAGCTGGTTGGTTTCTTCATCAAAGCTGTCACAGGAGACGGCCAGGATGTCCAGGCAGTCTCCTGGAGACGAGAAGGCACACGTTGAAATCTAGACTATGAATGTTGGAGCGACTCTGGACAGAGCCGGCCCAAGGCACATATGAATTAAGCGACTGCTTTGGGCCCCCCACACCACCAGAGGGCCCCCAAGAGCATCATGATGACATGAGGAAAATAATGTTTTAATAACTTTAAATAATGTAAATCAAATAATATTTCCCATGAAAAAACTATTTATAATACCGTATTTTCTGTAGTGTGATCTGGTGTTATTTTGTAGCGTAGCACATTTTAGATCCTGTGAGGACTAAACACTTTTACTGATTAAAAGTGGTTAAAAATGTTTTACCATTCATAAATATTGTTGTTTTACACATTTGCCTCTTTGCTCGTTGCCAGTGATGAAAGGGAGCCTGAAGTGTTTGTCGTTTAGCTGGAAGTTGAATGATCTGACGAAGTACTCGTTCCAAAATTGCGCACCCAGGGATTTAAGACCCATCCTCTGTTTAATTCTACACAGAGAACTATTCTGGTTACTCACAGGAAGAGAGGCTAATGAGGGGAGGGAACAGCCAGCTCAAAAAATAAAAAATAAAAAAAATTCTGAAAAAAATGCAGAAATGCCGACTGTACTGCGCGACGCTGTTGTTTTTTTAGCTGTAGTCAAAAATGGCGTCAGGCGATGGCGCAAACATCTTCTTTTTTTTTTTAAGAAAAGCCTGTAGAGTCTCTTCTTGTTGTGGTTTTAAAACATGTTCAAGTCATTTAGAACAATGGAAAGAGCCGCAGCAAACTCTGCTTCATGTCGCCATGTTTATGAGAAATTTTGCGCTGTGATGTGTAACGTACACTGCTCAGCTCAGCTTGGCTGATTGGCTCGGTTAGAATTCTCAGGAGGTGGGGTTACTTGAATTAGATAGTTCCCAGACCCATTGCTTCCCAAAAGGAAACATGGGGCTGACTGGTCAGGCTTGCAATATTTAGGTATGGACTGCCCCTATCGCCAGGAAAAATACACATCGTCACTTTAAATAACATTTTGCAATTCAAAATGCTAATTAATTAGAGCGATTTAGTTAGTTTGCTGCTCTGGTAAAGTTTAAATAATAACACCTAAGCTAATTTTAAAAGATGCTAATGATAGTGGGCATGCTACACAAATGATGTAGCCTAGGAAAGATGAATTATCTCGACTTGACTTGTTTGTATGGGGGCCCCAAAGGGAAACCTCCTTGGGCCCCACAAATGCTTGGGCCGTCCCTGGGCACACGTTTGGGATCTTACCGTATTTCTGGAACCACTTCTCTTTGATCATGCTTCCATTGCTGACAATGCTGACACTTGGGAGCTGCAGATCCATCTTACAGTACTGAACTAGCTGTCCCAGAAATTCCCCTTTATCGTGCAAGAAGGGCTCTCCTCCGGAGAAGTTAATCTTTTCCATTCCTTAAGTTAAAAAAAGCAACTTTGAATACGTTTGTTCATCAAAGAGGAACATTTTGATCGTTTTACCTGCTTCCTTTAGAAGTCTGAGACCCCGCTTGGCTTCCTCCACAGGAAGGACGAAGGATGTTTTTGCAGTGTGGAAGCAAAAGCCACATTTATAATTACATTTACGAGTGAAATGATAGTTAACGCTAGTTGGAGTGGTCGCAGTTTGGTCTTCATGTTGCTCCAACCGAGGAGCGACTGACGCTGGCCTCTTGCAGGATCCTCTCACCCAGTGCAGGGACGTTAAAAGGACGCTCAGAAAGCGGTGGATGGTGCTGATGCAGAGTTGCAGGATCACTTTGGGAGTCGCGGTTAAAGAAGAGAGACTCATCTTTGCTGCTGCTGGTTTGGTGCTGCTGTGGACGCAGGCTTTAAATACGTGCGTCAGTCCACCAGCTGATGGGCGCGTAGGTTTCTGTTTACAAACACCGAAAACGAAACTATGAAGTATGGAAAAGAAATGTTGCAACTCAGGCTGATAAACGCTTAATGGAATTCCAATCTAATTACTTTCAACAATCTAGAAACTATAATGGGAGAAATTAAAAGGTTTGGAAATGGGTGAAATATGCGCAAAAGTTTGAATGGCTCAAGGCGACATCAGCGTTTTGTGGAGGGAAATAATTAAGAATTACTTTATAATACTAAATATTATACCACAAAGTTGCTAATGTACAAAGATCAGTTCAACAGCTGATCTGCTATCCTGCTTATAAGCCCCCGCAGGACTCCACCATAAACACTTTATCAAGCGTTAGGAGTGTTTGACAAGCACCAGATTGTAGTTGTCCATGTTTTACAATAAAAAAAAGTAACGGCACACTTTATTATCTTATCTTTATAATTTTGTTGCGGTCATGCAATATTTTAGCATTTATTTTAAATATCAAATTGGAACAAGAAGGAATTTATTATTATTATTATTATTATTATTATTATTATTATTATTATTATTATTATTATTATTATTATTAATACATTTGTTATACATTTATTACGAATTATATTTTGCACTACCAACGGGAGGAACTATAGATGCAAACCTTGCAGCTACATTTTTCTCTAATCTCTAATCCCTGCTCTCTAATCTCTAAAACACACCTTGTGGTCCTGTTTCCTGAGTCACAACCCGACACCATCGGCTTCTCGAAATAAGAATTTCTTTGTAAATTGTGGAATACTTCCGTTAGTTTCGTTTTGTCCTCCTGCACACTGTAACTTTCGTTTTCCCCGCACCGGAAGAGCCCAGCCCCGCCTCCCCCGATAATATCGTTAAAGCGTGAGGGAAGTGCGTTTGTTTTTTGCACCCTTGTTAGGTGCGTGAGAAACATGGCGAGGCACTTGAAAGACTTGACTTCTGTTTTTGCGCGCTGGTCTTCTCGCGTGTTCTCCGTGGAGTTGGACGGCGCGCCTCTGTATTTTGGACTCCAAGAAATAAAGCGCAAAGGAAAAGCGCCGCAAGTTTTCTCTAAACTCCAGAATGAAGAAGAAAAGTGCTACTCCCTTCTTGTGTGCAGCAGCGACAGGATCAAAAGAGAGAAGTTCTACTGGGAACTGAAGGACAAACTCCTGAGGAACTTGCCTCCTGGCTCAGCAACACGTTCTCACACCCTAAGCGTCGGAAACAAACGCTTGGTCACTCACTTTCTGCGTCAGATACCAACGCAGAAAGTGCCCTTTTTCGTATATATGTGACAAAAAGGAGTCTCCGTTGATTCTAATGCAAATCCCAGTGCAGCGACATAGTGACGAGTTTGGATGTTCTCTTGCGCTGCACTGAACACGCATATTTCCCCATCATTTGGATAACTTTGAGTATTTTTCTGACATCTGTGGAGCCACATTTAAACACGGACTTTGCGGCAGCTTATGCTTACATTTATATAAATTGTGTGGACTTCTGAACGTAACTACGAGTCATCTACGTCATCTATGAGAATCGATTTATTTACAATACAGTTATAAAACACCGGCATGTTTATTTAACTGCTCGAGACAACAATTTTCATTTATTTGTCAGTATAAGCCGTGTTTATAAACTTATTTGTTGCGGTATGGCAAGCATAACAAACTGCGTTTCCCACAATGCTCGGCTGCGGGCAGAGAAGAAGCACTTAGTAGTAATAAGCTGGTTTTACGTCAAGAAACGAGTTTTATTGTTTCTGACAGCTCTGTAACCCACTCGGTTGTTAAATTTTAAATCTCAAATATTTGTTACAGTACAGTAATACATTTTAAAGTGATTGCAATAGTAGTTCACAATTTTTGTTTTCGTTTTTCCAGGCACCCATGGTCCGGAAGTAGATGGGCGTGACTTAGGCTCCTTTTTTAACCAAAACAATTTATTTATTGACTGTTGTAATATAGCGCTACATATAATATAATTATTTTTCATCTAAATACATTTTCAATCTAAATACACAATTATTTACAAACGTGCTTATATCACGTGATAGAATGCGACAGGTCCCGCGTAAACTGGTCTTCCGGTCTTTCCGTTTACTCTCCTTTCGGTAAGTAGAACATTTTCTAATCCGTTATGATTGATTACACAAAAACACTTTGAAATGCCGTTCTTATCATTATATGTACACTTTATAAATACGCGTGTATAATTTTCAATCACATTTTAAGAAAAAGGTATTTAAAGAAAATCCAGATAACATGTAAACTAAGCTATGCAAAATTTTACCGTGTCAGACTTTGATGTGCAACCGACATTTGTTTTCTCTTTCAACAGCTGCTGTCATTTTGATCTATCTGAACCCCAACTTTTCATCAACACAAAGGCACTTTTTAGAGCCACGTCTGTTTTTCGTAATTTGTCTTCTGTTTGTCACACTTGTTTTCCTTTGGTTTCGTCTTCTGTGTCTGACTGTTTAGTTTGTTTACTGTAATTGTTGTTCTGTCTGTGTGGGAAATATAGCCTGTGTGTGTGTGTGTGTGTGTGTGTGTGTGTGTGTGTGTGTGTGTGTGTGTGTGTGTGTGTGTGTGTGTGTGTGTGAGAGAGAGAGAGAGAGAGAGAGAGAGAGGTATTCCTCATTAACAATGAGTGAGAGTGAGCTGCAGGATTTACTGCAGAGCGTTGAGGGTGAGGTCACTGAGGACCTAAAAGACGCCGATGACTTCCTCAGTCAGCTGCAAAATGAGAAAACTGCAATACCAATTGCAGCACCGATGCCAACAGTGAGGTGGAAGAAGAGAAACAGTGGTGGAAACCTCATCCACAGGAGACCACGGGCACTAAGGAACCAGTGCACTCAGGGTGAGCATTGTTCTTTCCTTAACCCTCCCACTGTCTTCATGGGTGACCCCGCCAGGAAAGTTGACCATTGAGCAGGATTGATGGTTTATCCCTTGAGGTCCACGTGGCAGGGGTGAGGTAGTGCTGATAAATACGACGTGCCGATGATAAACCATCAATACTCAATGGTCAACTTTCCTGGCGGGGTCACCCATGAAGACAGTGGGAGGGTTAAATATAACTAAACTCAACCTAACCCTATCCAAAGGCTTATAACAATGCTTTGCAAACAAAATTTTTTGTCAACCTTCTATATAATTTTATTGATCACTATAATGTGCTGGTAATGTTCAGAAAATTTTTGTTTCATTATATGAGTATCATTAGTATTTTTATTTTGATAACAGCTGGTCACAGTCTGTTGATTGACACGGTCTCAGCTCCCGTCTCAGCTCCTGTCTCAGCTCCTGATGTTGTCTTTGCTCCTGAGACATGTGGTATGTTTTTCTTTCTTTATCCACTAGTGTTATTTCATATGTTTGATTTGTGTATTAGTATATGTATAAAATCAGATCAATTTTAAACATTATCTGAACAGTGAACATCATTTGTTCTCTAATTTCATCAGACGAGTTCATGCGGGACCTCCAGCATTCATTTGCTGATGTTGAGACTGAAGAAGTATCCCCAGTGGTTCCCACTGTGACATCAGCAAACTGGGGCTTAAGGAAAATGAAAGAGCTGGAAAACTGGAGATCTGTGAGGCCTTATTTAGTCAATACCCTGATATCAAAGGAGAAGGTGGAACCCAACTTATGCCAGGAGTGTCAAAGCAATGCAGCTGCTATCCGGTGTCGGGATTGTCGTCCACGGCCGTTCCTCTGTGGAGAATGTGATTTAAATGCACACAGCCAACATCCATTCCACAATAGAGAGGCCACTATAGGAGGATTCTTTGAGCCATTGCCCCCAACCAAAGTTATTATAAATGAAGCTCTTTGTCATTGTGGTGAGTTCTTTTTGAGCATACATGCTGTTATTGTGCACACAGTTTGTTAGTATATACATATATAACATGAACTTATTTTTTCTAGAACGAGTTGTACCTCTAGAAGTCCCTTCCAAAATCTGCAGCTGTCCAGCTGAGTACTTGAAGCTCAGTGCCGGAAAGGTTGTGGCTGTGATCACTATGAACGGTACAAGTATATTGTTGTGCATCAAAATATTTTTCTATTGTGTTTGTGATCTGACAATAGAAAATATGTGAAATTCATGTTGCATTTATGTTTTCTTAAAGGACGTCATGACCTCAATATCCCAAAGCTGACCTGTGGGATGTGCAATGCCACATGGACTGCTTTGATTGAAGACCTGATAAAAAATGACTTCTGGCCAGCTACCATGCACTATGAAACAATCTTTGCATGTGATATTTTCTTCACATTTGAAGAAATGAAAATGGTAGCGCCCGGATTGTCTTGTCAGGCATTTATAAGAATGCTGGATCTAAGAACCGTTCGCTTTGGTCGTGTGAGTATATATTTTTTTAATTATCTCAACAGTGTATGAAATAGAGTTCTTTTATGTTTTCTTAAATGTTTTTAATAGACTGGAAAGATCTCAGCAGACAGCTTCATGAGAAGTTTTTTTGAGTGGGAGGCTGTGAGATATGAAGTTGACAGCCACTGCAAATCCGAGCCCTTTGCCTGTCCTGCCTGCAGCCCAGAGATGCTTGCGGTCTCTGTTGATGGAAACCGCAAACATTATCGTTTTAATAATTCTGCCAGGTACAATAAAATGTCAGCATAAAGATCAAACACATTACAAATCACAGGTCTTAGTTAATTATAGATTTACATTTCTGCTTTTTACAGATGTGAGGAAAAGGCCATCTTTGAGGGTGTCTTTATTGCTGACGATGAGGACGTTACACAATTTGTGGACCACATTCAAAGCAAGGCAAAACATGTAAGATGGGACTGTAATTACTGTATAAATGTAAAATATCGTAACGTAGAGGTAGGCTCTAATATTTTCATCCTGTTAAATTTAGGTGTCTGGGAAAGGTAAATGTGGTGGTCAGTGGCAGGCGGCCAGAGAAACCTCCTTAAGGTCTACCAGCAAACTTGATGAGGAGGGCCTTGAGCTTGCAGTGTGCCGGCATGGAGTGCTGCTGCGGGCCCTTAATATGTACAGGGGAGAAATTTTTGCGTATCCCCTGTACTTGCAACAAAAGCTGCCCAACAGCAGGTTTTTTTGCATGGATGTGACCTGCAAATATTGGCCTTACCTCCAGAGGCTGGCCAAAAGCTGCCCAGAGCTACAGCCTCTTCTTGATATGAAGCCATTCCTCTCTGTGTTTCATGCCAAAGCCCATAACTTCCAATGTGAAGTGAGTGAAATGATTATACTGTGTGTTTGTAAAAATCATTGTCAGAGGTGAAAAGTTTCTACATAGTTTCTTTTTGAAACAGGTGAAATGGAGTGGAGCATATCAGGAAGGGGCGGGGTTAACTCTGGGTGAAGAAGTGGAGCAGGTCAATGCCTTCCTGTCTCGCATTGCAGTCACCACGAAGCATATGTCAAAAGCAGGTATGAAAACATGGTATTTCTAATTAGGGATGCACCGATACCAGTACTGTATTGGATGTTGTTGCCGATCCAGGCTTTGTAGCTGGATTTGTGGAGAGGTGAACATGGCTGATACCGGATTATATTATTTACTTCACTTTATCCAAATAATGAGCAGAGCAATAATGTGGCGAACTACATAACTTTTTACACTGCCACTGACAAATTATTTCCACATTATGAGTTATTTTCTGTTCCAAGTTATATCATGTTAGAGGTTTATTATGTGTTATATAACAATGTTTTAGTGTTTGCATTAGTATTGGTGGATATCAGGTATCAACTGATCCAAAAAGCCCAAATATCGATATCAGGACTGAAAAGGCTGGTTGGTGCATCTCTCTCTTAATATTCTTACAGTATCTCACAAAAGTAAGTACACCTCTCACGTTTTTGTAAATATGTCATTTTAACTGTTTATGGGAAATATCGGAACATATGACAACATGCAATTAGTCGGTGTACAACTTGTGTAAATTTGCTGTCCAGTGTGCCTTGTCTAACCAAAATGTAAGGGGTGTACTCACTTTTGTGAGATAATGTAGATCTACTATAAATATATAGTATTTCACTAGCAAGGACCACGCATGAAGTGCCTGAAATGTTCTTTATAAAAACACGCGGTGATGGATGAAGGTGTGGAAGGTGATGGCTATGAGCAGACTCAGGATGGGGGGTTCCGTATCTGAATAGCATAGCCGGCTGACTGGAGACCCCCCTACTACAGTCTACTTGAGAGCAGCTGGAGACTGGAAGACAAAAACATAACCCTGAAGGGAGGGTGGTTGAGAGAACACAGACAAACAGCTGGAGATGTTTGTGAAGATAGCAAATGTGGCTGAGATGTGGTAAACCTTGAAGTAGAGGTGTTTATGAGATGTAGTTGAGTCGTGGTCCTGCTCCCGAACCTACATTTACATTTACATGTTCACTTAATGTGTGTATTTTGTTAAATGACCCAAATACTCTACTGCTTGCTACGGCCCCTGGTTTTACCACCAGTCTGACAACTCCACTACACCGTACCTGCTAGGGTTCTTCCATTCAGCACCATGAAGAGCGACATTCCCTGAACTCCCTTCAGCCGCAGCCTATTCAGGACAGGTTTTTTTGTAGCCAGATGAGGAGAAACAGGCATAGAGATAAAGCAGAGGGGCTAGAAATGTAGCAAGAGAGCTCTAAGGAAGATTTTGAGAGGTAAACAAGAAGAGTTACCTGAACCAGATAGCAGGAGTTTGCTGCACACTAAGACATAAGGCCCTGAGATAAACTTGGATTGGGATATTGCTGCAGTTGGAGATTGACTCAGTGTTAATGATCCTAAATCATTTTGTTACTTATCTCAGTCTTAAGCCTTTTTTGAGGATTTGAGTTGCAAATGTTTGGTTTAGACTGTATTTAGTCTCTCCCTTATGAACTACTGACCCTGGGTAAGATAGTTTAATTTAATTCAGAGTAGTTATGAATATTTTTTGAGTTGCTTAGTTTTTATTTTATTCTATTTTTCATTGTTTACCTTAGGTAAGTCTTCTCCCAACTAGAGAGTTTTTAATCTTGGTTGGGACACTTTTTGTAATAAACTTTTTTATTACAAAAAGGTTTATTATTGTTTTGAGCCTTCTGGTTTTTTCCCTCCCAATCTATTTGCTGTGTTCATCCCATCAGGGTTTCCTAGGCCTGTTCGGGTTGCAACAGGGCTTCCAGTACCACTGGAGGCAACGCATGCCCATGTAATCACTGCCTCCATCATGTTTCACATGTATGTTGTGCTTTAGATCCAGGGCTTTTCCAAACCTTCTTCATACTTCTCTCCAACATTCTTAAAGACTGGTGCATACAAATACATAGAAGGCAATTTCAAAACTGGGCTGTCTTTTTCAAAATAATTTGTAAGGCAAATTCTAATCTGTCGGGTTTATTTGGTCTACACAAAACTGTGTATTGTATACTGCATTGTATTGAAAATGATTGCAGCCTCCCTTCTGTTGCAGGACGTTCAGACATGCTGACATTAATGGCCATGCGCTGGAATCAGCAAAAGACCTCCAATTTGGCTGTCTTCCTGTCTCACAGATATTTGAAAGTAATAATGGCATCAATTTGTCCTCTATGAATAGTTTATGTATGTTAAATTCAATATCAGTTTTTACTTGTAGACCACAAGTACTCTCGAGAGTCAGCTTGAAACACTGGAGTCCCAAAAATCCGAGTGGGGTGTAACTGACAAGCAGTTGGAGGAGTGGGTAACTGATGTGAAGGAGTGGGCAGAAGGTAGATATGATAATATTATAATTACCTAATAATTATAATGCATGGTGTACTATATATTTTTTACATACATAGGTATGTCAGTGTGCAGTTACCAACTTCCATGCTTTTTCTACAGAGACATCCAACAAGACTGATGAAGCTGCAGTTAATCTTGGAAGTAAGATTGAGGGGCTTGTGGCAAGCATCAAAAGGCGTTCACAACGTCTGTACAAAGACACAGATGGCAGTAAAGGCCGAGCCAGGGGTCGCCACAAAATCAGAGAGGAGAAAAGAATCCTGACGTCAGTGGTCGACGAGTATAACAAAATGGTTCCAAGCAATGAGTGCCTGTGCATAGAAACCATACTGTCTGAAGATACAGCATGGCCATGGCAAGAGTTTCAAAGTGGTACGTACTTGTGCATCTCCAAAAACAGCTGTGAAAACTGCTCAAATCAGCTTATTATCCAAAAACACCTGCTAAAGATTCCTTAGCCATGAAATGGGCTCTCAGTCTGTTTCAGTAGGAATCACAATCAGGCAGTTTTGAAGAAAATCATCATTGAATCCCTGCATAAGTAGTGAAAGCCTCCAAAGTTCATTGCAAATTCATTTTGATTTTATGCCAGTTATGAATCAAAGCAGATACATTGAAACCCTGGAGAGAGTTGTCTGGAAAGGCCATTGGAAAGTTGATGAGGACCTTCACAAGAACTGGACTGAGGCTAGAGTTAGTGCATCAAGAGCCACCACACACAGACAAATGCTGGACATGTGCCTCAAATGTTCTATTCCTTTTGTTAAGTTGCTCCTGAACAACAATGTCAACAGTGTTCCAAAATCCTACTTTCTGATGAGACAATTTAGCATCTCATTTGGAAGACAAGTTCCCTGAGTCTGGAAGAATTGCAGATGCTTGAAGTGCTGAGGGATTTTGGGAACCATGTCATCTGCTGGTGTTTGTCCATTGTGATTTAAGTCCAAAGTCAATGCAGTCTTCCACCAGAAAATTTTGGAGCACTTCATTCTTCCTTTTGCAGACCTTTATGGAGATGCTGACTTCATTGTCCAGCAAAGTAGCGTGACCTGTACCCCAACGCCTCCCAGCTTCACACTCAGCATTAAGGGGTTTGATTGGGGGGTTAAACCACCAAATAGTTCCTGAGCGTGGCTGTGTCTGCAGCTCACCGCTCTCCCAGGGGATGTGTCAAATGCAGAGAACAAATTTCGCACACACATCAGTGTGTGTGACAACTAATGGGACTTTAACTTGACCTTAGAGAATCTATGGGTTAGCCCTAAGAGAAAAATGAGAGTCAATGATTCAGAACAACTGAAGGCTGTTATAAATGCGTCTTGGTCCTCCATAACACCTCAGCAATAATACAGGCTGATAGCATTCATGCCACGCTGCTTTGAGTCAGTAAGTCATGCAAGTGGTGCCCCAGACAAGTACTGAGTACATATGTATAATATTTTTCTGAGGTCCAACATTTCTTTATTCAAAATCCTATATATACATTTTTTCTGAGGTTTTAAATTAGATTTAAAGAGGATTTCAGGTCGTAAAGGTTTGCTAGTCAGTTAGGCTAAGGAGTGCCATATTGTTTAACTATATTTTTCCAGTGATTTCAAATAATAGTACTGGGTGATATGCCTTAAACCTTCCTTTACAAAACTGTTGGTAATCTATTTTCAAGGAGCATGTTGTAAAGTTAGCCATGGCTTGTACAGATTGTTTGAACCCTAATGGCTTGATTGCACAAACCCATTTCAGTTCAGTTTTTTTTTTGTTCCTAATTTTGATTTGTATCTTTTAACTGAATGCAGGCTCTGTAGATCTCAGGACAAAAAGAAGAGCCTTTGACCTTGTCATGGCAGTGAAAAGACTGCAAGAGGAGAAGAAGATTCTCATGGCAGAGATGAACCAACACTGGAAGTACCTTCTGCATCAAATGGATTCCCTGAAGGAGCTTTCTGAGGAAGTTTCAAATGCTGCTCTCAAAAGTATGTTCTTAAGTCCAATCTGAAAATGGGTATTACTGATGACAGGGTTACTAATATGCTTTTTTTTTGCCAGGTACTGCTACTTCACTGTGGGGCCTACCAGTTGAGGTGTTAAAAGGTCTTCAAAGCCTACTTCTTAGGAAAAGGCAGAACACCAGAAAAGCTGTGGCACATGCAAGGAGCTGCTACTTAAAAGTTTTCAGTCAAGCAGAGACGAGCAATATCCTCCAAAGCTTTTCAGACAACTCTGACAGTGACTCTGACATGTCTGATGATATGTTATGAGATCGCAAAATGCGTATGTTATAAAAGCACAGCCTACTTGTATTGCACCCAGAAGTTGGCCGACAATGTTACGCAATGTTTCTCTGAAAGTGTTTTTAGCTGATACAGGGTATTCGCGGGTCCTTAAAAAGGTCTTAAAAAGTCTTAAATTTGGCTCCCTTAAACCTGCAGATTCACGAGAAAGCAAATTCACATTGAGAAATGTGGTTATACAGTACTAATTTCAGTTTGTAATGACACGTGCAGAAACACAAAAAAAAATGTATGTACAGCTTACATTTTAGCTTCTCTTCCATTTTATGTAACTTAATGCTGGGATTAATGATATAACATGGACTGTCATTCTGTAATCGGAAAGAAAAATGTAAATAAAACTATGATTTTGATTTTTTGGCTTAATTTTTTTAGTCACATTGCGTTTGTTTTGAACAATACTGTACATTTAAAATGAAGTTGCACTATAACACAATGCCTGCTAAATAAGATGTTCTGCAATAAACATTTATATAATTTCTACTTGTGTTTTTTCATTTCCAATTTTTAATTGTGGATATTTCAAATAATACTATTAGTGTGAAAGGGCTTTAGAAAAGATTATGGCAAATGCATTTTGATTGTGTGAGCTACTAAATGTTGGAGTGGCAAAGCCCCCAGTTTAATTACCAAACACTGTAAACTAAACATCTTTGCCACACCTTTATATGACTTTAAAAACTGCTTTTAGATTCATGTGGATGGAAAAGTCCCTAGTTTGGAAGATGGCTGAGGGAAAATGCGCTCTGCCAAAAGAAACATTTAACTATAAAATATACTCCCTGAAGAACCCTGTAGAGCTTTCAGAATATCTGAGGGGATTCCACAGTCAAACAAAATGGGCAAAAACAAATCAAGGACAAAATTTGGAACAGTAAAATTTGGCTCTCAATGCAAGTGTGGGTTCCCTCCAGGTGCTCTGGCTTCCTCCCACAGAACAAAAAAATGACTAATACACTGATTGGGCTAGTAAATTGTCTTTAGCCAATCACATTAACAACTGAAATTATGTATACCAATGTGCACCTGGAAAACAACAACTCGCTCAAGCTAGATAGGCCACTTGATACTGTCATCAAAACTAACTCCTACCCTACAGCACAGTGCTGACACACAATTGTATCTGCCTATTTTGGGCACTTTTGGATTTTTTTTCTAGCAACTGAAAAAAAAGAAAAGAAAATTGAGTTCATAGCTAAGTAAGAACACTACCTACAGGAGGCTCACATATATTATACATCTTAGTGACAGCTTTCTATTGATGTATCATCCCTGCACGCCTTTCAGGGGCAGAGTTATGGGGCTGAACAAGTTGCAAAAAAAGGTTTTTAGCGCACTCCAGCCATACAATGTAAAATCGTAGAGACAATATTTAGACTGTAGTGCTCCGCTCAGCGAGACCTTTCCACAGAGCCCTCAAGCAAACCTGTACGCTTAGCAGTTCAGAAGTTCACATTTTCAGGACAAAAAATTGGATTCCCTCGACTTCGTTTGATTTTCAGACATCTGCTTGCTGAAGTATTTTTTTGGCATTTTAACATATGTCATTCATACATATATATTAGTGCTCTGGAAGGACTGTCCTGAGATGGTGGTCCAATGTCTGTAATTTACCCAGAGCTGAAGCTACGGTCCTTATCATTGTAGGTCAAGTGTTTCATTTTTGGCCATTGTTCAGCTGGGCAGAGGGCTACAGATCTGAAATGTGTTTGAGTGGAACTCTGTGTGAGCTTGTTATGTCATGTAAACCTTGATAGGCATATCTAACCATATTATGTGACTTACCTCAAACAATGCACCCTATAGGCTAGATGAAAAGCTCCAAATAAATTTTCCATGGGAAACAGAAAGAGATGTCACTGTTTTGTGGAGGGATTAGCAGTCTTGATTATGTTTCTATTGAGAATCAAATGATCATATTTTACTGGAGGTATCATGTGTTTTTCGTGTAATGCTAAGATTTTTTTTCTTCCATGTATAACGCCCCTTGTCATGCCCAAATACCTCAATATTTGTTCCATCAGTACAGAGCTGAATTGTCCAAATGTGCTTAAGCATACCCGATGCAGCCATTTGTGCTGTGGGTGGACAAAAGGCTTCCTCTGCATCACTCTCACATACAGCATCTCCTTGTGTAAACTGTACCAAAGAGTTGAACGATGCAAACTCCATCTGCAGCAAGATGATGTTGTAGGTATTTGGTGCTGTTCTGTGGGTTGACTCTGACTGTTCTCACCCTTCTTCTCTTCTGTTTATCTGAGATTTTTCTTGGTCTGTCACTTTAACTGTGCCTGTGGTCTTCCATTTCCTCAATATGTTCTTGACTGTAGAAAGAAACAGCTGGAATCTCTGAGACAGCTTTCTGTATCCTTCCCCTAAACCATGATGGTGAACAATCTGTTTTCAGGTCATGTGAGAGTTGTTTAGAAACCCCATGTTGCTGCTCTTCAGACAATATTCAGAGGAGAGAAACTTACAATTGGCCCCTTAAATACTCTCTCATAACTAGATTCACTTGTGTATGGAGGTCAAGGGTCACTGAACTTACCAAACCAATGCTGAACTTCACTAATTATTTCTAAAGATTCTGTAATATACAAAATGACAACAGTGCCAACATTACTGTAGCTGCCTAATTTAGTTTAAAAAGTTACTGCATGCTTTCTGTTAATCCTATAAACCTCACTTAATATCTTAAATATGACTGCCTCCTATATGATATATATAACCAATGTAATTTTTTTTTCATAACAACCATAGATTTATAAAGATAAATCAAGATGATTAATTATGCTGCCAAAACTTTCACACCCCACTGGATAGTACCTACTCTAAGCTAAAGCTCAAACTCAAAGTTACCACATGCACAGCATGAAGGAGTTTTGTTCTTATAACAGGTTAACAATATGAATCGTGTAGTTGAGATGATGCCTGTGTTGTGGATACATTATGTTTTAGTTGATGCTGAGTTAGAATTGATGAGAAACTGCATTTTTTGTTTCCTAACCAGTTTCTGCTGTATTGTTTGAAGGGTGTAATGGACCATCAGAAGCTGAATGCAAATCACAGGTTAGATTCATATCCACATCTGAAGACCTGGAAAAAAAAACATTCTCACCTGCCTTGTACATTAGTCCCAAAAGCAACCCTGTTTTTTGTCTGTGTATGTGTGTAAAGACCTTTGTATTTTGTAAATGCATTATAAATGCTTACAGACAGCTGTGTATATATAATATATATTTTATATATATATATATATATATATATACATACATATACACACGTATATATTTATATATATATGTAGATACACACACACACATATATTAATATATTTAAACGTCAATAAATCTTAGTGTATAAAACCCAAATTAACCACCATACTGTCCAAAATGACATTATTTGAATGAAAATTTTTAATATGCTTGACTTACATTCCACCTTATAAAAATAACAAGGCTCACACATCATACACATTCACTTTTTTTAAGTTTTACAAACATTTGTAGAAAAACAGAATACTGTCCACCTCTGCTCACAATATACTCATATACTGTTCAGCTGGCTCCCAGGTATCATCCCACTGTTTGCCACTAGGAGGAAAAAGAAAAAAAAGGTTAAAATTATGTTTGATTTCAACAATTTTAAATATATCCAGACATTGCTTCTACTGAATTTACCATGTAGTGCATGGTGCCCATCTGATTTTGACTTCATTTTTTCCCTGAAACACAGTTATTTGGGAATAACAATTACTCAGTGGAGCTCATACATCAACCCCAGTGCGTTTCACAAAGTTAATAAGGACTTCTGTAAAAAAAATATAAAGACATTCATTAGTTTTGGATTTTTCCGCTCATATGCAAGTATTTTAGGACAAGTGTCTGTTTTTCAACTGATGTAAGAGGATGTTCAGTCATTCCTAATACCATTGATCCCAACATCTGATCAGTAATTTGTTGCAAGCAAGCACAATCACATTACCATCTTGGCGTAAGTAATAAAATAGACCAGTCTACACTAGTATACTGAAAAAAAGAGAGACGAGACTAGTTTTTACTGATCATTGAAGCTGGTAAAGGGTGCACTTTATCTTTGTATCAAGGAAAATTGTCAAAGGAATCAAACTTGAGAAAAGCTGCACATCTGTGGTGTCATCTGCGCGACTGGCTCCCTAATGTGTCTGTGTGCAGTTGTTTTTCTTGGGAGATGCCCCTGTGTCACATTGCTGAGAGACAAGCACATAGGCATTGACTGACTCCAGTTTAGAAACCTAAATTTATGCTAATGTTAGGCCTACGTCTAGGCTGTTAGCCCCATTTTGTTCATTACTGCTGCAATAATAGAATATACTCCATTAAAAAGGACATGAGTTTTGTATCAACTCTCTTACTTTGTCACACTGCTTAATGCCTGTTATGTGAGCGATGTCAGTGGGCCGCAACGGCATCTGAGCCCTGTTCCAGTTCCCCCAGTTGCGTCATCAATATTTACACCACTACTGACGTAGCATTTTGTAGAAATAATACTGTAATACAGTCACTGCATAATATATTGTAAAACTTGGAAAATATTTCAGAAATTAGACCACTGTGCCAGTGGTTAGTCAAGCAGATTTATTTAGGAAGATTTGCCTGTGTAGGTTGCCCATAGTTATTGAATGTGAGAGTGAATGGTTGTTTGTGTACAGTACAGACCAAAAGGTTGGACACACCTTCTCATTCAATGTGTTTTCTTTATCTTCATGACCATGAGCATTTACAAAGGGGGCAACAAGTGCTAAACACCTCTAGGAACTCCTTCAAGACTGTTGGAAAACCATTTCAGGTGACTACCTCTTGAAGCTCATCAAGAGAATGCCAAGAGTGTGCAAATCAGTAATCAGAGCACAGGGTGGCTATTTTGGAGCAAATAGAATATTAAAAAAAAAAAATCAGTTAATTCACCTTTTTTGGTTAAGTACATAACTCCACATGTGTTCATTCATAGTTTTGATGCCTTCAGTGAGAATCTCCCAATGTAAATGGTCATGAAAATAAAGACAACCAATTCAGTGTGTCCAAACTTTCAGCCTGTGCTGTATGTCAGCCGTACAAAAAACTGCCCCTTCTCCAAAGTGTTAGTTTTCTAAGGCCCATAGTATTTGGGATTGTGCCTTTGAATGTCTGGTCAAAATGTTGCTCTGGACATCTTTGCTGTATTTTTTCATCGTATTGACTTACCTTTTCATCTTATGTCTTAAGTGTTTTCTATACTTGTTGTTCAACCAACACTTTGTGGTTACTTTTTAACTGTAATTTGGAAATGCACGCTCGACACTTCATATCTTAGAAAGAAAAATGCAAAAGACTGTAAATACAATGTTTACTTTTTAACTTACATTGATAACTCTCTTGTCCACCACCTCTTCATACAAGAACACCGTTTGTCTCCTGTGTTTTCGGCACTCTAAAAAATAAAAAATAAAAAAAAAGAAAATTG